AAGGAGAGAGGGAAAGTGAGAAATCACCGCCTGGGGAGAATGACCCCACCCACAATCCCTTCTCCATTCTCTCCCATTGTGGCACATGGCCAGCATGATTTTTTAGGCTGCTGGGTCCAGGACTTGAGCCACACACCAGGTCACATGGGATCCAGCTGTCCCCTATATCCTCTTTTGTTAATTTTTTTATTTCTTTCATGAAACACGAGAGAAAAAGAGACAGGTACTCATGCCATGATCTATAATACATCCAGCCACAGTCAGGCCTCCAATGGGAACCTAGAACCTTCTCACATGGGTTAGTCTTGCAGACTGTTGCATTAACACCGTACCACTGTCTGGTCTTCCTCGTGAGGTGTCTATTAAGGTCTTTGACTTTTTTTGTTTTTCTGTCTTTATTAAGTATCCATTAGACCTATCTCATCATAATATCTTTTCTGTTCTCACCCCACATTTCGGTCAAAGAGTTTAAAGAGTTGTAAGGGGAAAACAAAACAAAACAACGTGCAACTGAGACCAGATGTGGCCTCAAAGCCTAAAATATTTACTACCTAGGCCCTTTCAGAAAGCGGGCCAACCCCTGCAACAGAAGAGCCCACCGCACTCCCACATACCTGTTCTGTTGAGCCTTGCCATATTCATCATTGCTTCTTGGTATGCCAACTCTACATCTTCTTGGGTGACCACTAGTTTAATTTTATTCCATTTTTCAGGCTAATAGAAACATAAGTAAGGGAGACAAGGGGGGGAAATATGATTAATCTTTCTACTGACAAATACAGCATTTTTTCCTTAGTTATCTTTTTATTTAGTACAGAAAATTAGTTTTCTAACTTTTTATTTTCCTGTCTTTATTATTTTAAGTATCCATTAGACCTATCTCACCATACTATCTTTTCTGTCCTCACCCCACATTTTGGTAATCAAATAATGCAGCTACCGGTCACGTCAAGTCTGGCAGAGCTCACAGTCTCAGTGCACAGGCATCTGGACCCCAGTGCACTCCTCTCTGGTAGGGCATAAACCACATCGGTCACAGCTTTGAACGTCCTCTGGTTCTCCTCCCCATCATCCCTGTTAAGCTGATAGCTTTCACGTTTCATATTATAATTATTGGCTCGTCAGGAAAGTCATGATGCATTTTTATAGAAAAACAGAAAAATATGCCAAGACTTTACTGACAATCTAATATATAATACTTTCACTAACTGTAACTCAATTCTGGAGTCACCTGTTTTGATGGACAAATAAATGACTGGGAAAATAGCTTCAACTCCATGTAAATGAAGACAATCTCAAGTGATCAAAAGGGTAACATGAAAATAGCAAAAGGGTCCTTTCATTCTACCCTGAGCCCACTGCCCTGTCTTTCCACCAGAAGTAACCACTATTCTAAATCTTGTCATTTATTCCCCTTTCTTTCAGAAGAGAGTTATCATATAGATGCCTATCAATAGATGCTTTGGTTGTTTCTGACCTTTACAAAATGCGTATTTTCGGTCAGCAGGTGGCACGAAGGTTAAGGCATTGGATCCACCATGGCCTGGATAGACAGTCCGAGTCTCAAACTGGGGGCAGCTTGAGAATCACACCAGACATGTCAGCATGAGTGTGTGTGTGCCCAAAATCCTGAAAGGAGAATAAAGGAAAAGGGATTGTAGTGTGGCCACCTCTCTGGGGAATGATTTCTCTCTCTCTTTCTCTGGCAAACACATGTGCCCTACAGCAACAACTAAAATCTTAAAAAAAAAAAAAACACAAAAAAACCTATGTATTATCACAGTCTATGAAACATGCTTTTTTTTAATTCTAAGCTTTTTTTTTTTTTTTTTGAGAAATTTTTGCTATGCACTCGCCAGAGAAAGAGACAGAAAGCAAGAAACCAGAGGTGATGGCCATGCTGCAATCCCTTGTCTTCCATTCTCCTTTTGAGATTCTGGGCATGGGCACACATGTGCCCAGCGTGAGTTTCAAGCTGCCAGAACTGGGACTCAGAGAGTGGTTGACCACGTGGGAGTCCAGCACCTTAACCACTACATCACCTGCTGGATTCCAATTCTAAGCATTTTTAAAAAATGATTAAGAGGAGGCAAAAATGTTGTCAAGATGAGGGAGATAAAAACAGAAGACTCCCAAACCCATCCATCTTTGTTACCCTTTTTTCCTCCTTTGTCTCTAATTCCCTTGCTACACTAATCAGGCCCAGTGGTGGTATGAGAATCAGTCTTCCAAGGGGGCTGACACCACACCACTGTGTCAGCAGAGAAAAATAAAGAAAGAACACAGTAGCCTTTGAGAATGTCTCTATTCTGCAATCTTAAGGGAAGATCTACCTGGGTGACAAGTGACATGAAATTATTATTCTTTTTCAACTGTGTCTCAGGACTGGTTGTTTCAGATAATAGTTGTAAAAATAAAACACACCATGATATGTGAGAATATACTATAATATAAATCCATATGGCAATGAAAAAAAATCTTAAGTATGATTGGTAGAAAATGACTCAAGAGAAATACTTAAGGGAAGATCTACCTGGGTGACAAGTGACATGAAATTATTATTCTTTTTCAACTGTGTCTCAGGACTGGTTGTTTCAGATAATAGTTGTAAAAATAAAACACACCATGATATGTGAGAATATACTATAATATAAATCCATATGGCAATGAAAAAAAATCTTAAGTATGATTGGTAGAAAATGACTCAAGAGAAATACTCTGATTTAATCTTAAGTATGATTGGTAGAAAATGACTCAGGAGAAATGCTCTCTGATTTATTCTAGATTCTTTCTCTATGAACAAATTATTTATCAAAATGTTCTCTAAGTTATTAATCAGTTTAAAAAGACAAAACTACTAATCAAAAACCTCAGACCCGGTAGCGTAATGGCTATGTCGCTGGACTCCCACGTAGTCAACCGAAATTCGCGTCCTGGACCCGGTGGCTTAAAACTCACGCTGGGCGCGCGTGTGTGCGCGTGCCCAAGATCCTGAGAGGAGAATGGAGAAGGGATTGCGGCGTGACCATCCCCCCTGGGGGATGATTTCTCGCTTTCTGTCTCTCTGTCTGTCTGGCGAGCGCACGTGCCCTATAGCAAAAATCTCTACCCCCCCCCAAAAAAAACAAAACTCAGACCCTATGAATAAAATAATTCGTCATAATGCTGAGCTTTATTTATATCTAAACACATTTTCTACAAATCTCCTGTTACTATTTTTCGATAATGTTTAAGACATGAAAGATGAAAGCTATCTCAGAATCATATAAATAGACAAAACTATTCCTATGCCTCCCAAATTTTTTGTAGAAAATCTAAAAGACCCAAGCCAGGGAGCCAGCATGTGGTGTGGTGTGGTGGTTAAGGTACTGGATCCCACATGGCCAACTGTGGTCTGAGTCTGAGACCAGGAGCTTGAAAAATCACACAAGGCACATGTGCATGCATGCTCCAAAATCCCAAAATGAATGGAGGAGAAAGGGTTGTAGTATGGCCATTCCTCAAGAGGAATGATTTCTCACTTTCCCTCTCAGTCTCTGTCTGGCAAGCGCATATGCTCTATGGCAGAAAGAAAGAAAAAATGGTGCTAGCTGAGGCTTACCTACTTCAGGCATTAAGTACACAAAACTTTAATGTAATAAAGGAGGATCGACATTTTCCAGGATTTCTTTAAGAATTTGATTGGTACTGGGTCAGCAGGTGGTGTGGTGGTTAAGGGTGTTGGACTTCCACATGGCTGACTGCGTTTGAGTCCCAGACCGAGCGGCTCACTTTCACACTTTACCTCTCTCACTGTCCCATTCTGGTTTAATTAAAATAAATAAACAAACAAATAAAGTTAAATGAAGTAATTCTTTTTTCACAAAAGAATTTGACTAGGGACCAGCAGTTAGCGTAATGGCTATGTTGCTGGACTCCCATGTAGTTGACCGTGGTTCGTATCCTGGACCCGGTGGCTTAAAACTCACACCCGGCACATGTGCATGCGTGCCCAAGATCCTGAGAGGAGAATGGAGGAGAAAGGACTGCGGGGTGGCCTCCCACCAGGGGGGGGATTTCTCACTTTCTGTCTCTCTCTGTCTGTCTGGCATGCGTATGCGCCCTATAGAAAAAAAAAAAAAAAGGAAAAAAAAAGACTTTTCCAAAAAAAAAAAAAAGAAGAATTTGACTAGTACTGCTGAGGCCACACAGGAAGGTCCTGTCCTGAGTTCACATACTGAGGTCTCCTGAAGCATACCAGGCATGTGCACCAGTAAGGATATCCTGGCTAGCTGAGGCTGGGAGTGGATCACAGTTCCCTTTAAAAATTTTACTTTAAAACCCATTTTTTCCAAAACTCGCCGACAAAAGTTATTACCATCCTGAAAACTTAAGTATACAATCCTGATCCCCATCATAAGCTGCAGTTTACTCACAATATCCAGCCACTGGTGCACTGCAACGGCCACTTGTGTCCCTAGAGGCTTCGTCAACACGAGCACATCCCCTGGGACTGCGTTGTCTGGCCTGAAGAAAAGAAAAAGCATGTATTCCAGTCAAACTCGCCAATGAGATAAACTCATTATTATTACAGTGGAAGGTGCTCCTTTCTCTTTTATATGTGCACAGATGTGCTATCATGAATAAAGAACAAAAATGAAAATGGAACAAGGAAAGTTCTGTTAAAAAGATATTTGTTTTTGGTCTTTAATTTAAACCAGCTACCACTAGGGGACTTCAGAGAGTTCATTGAAAAATGGAATTAAAGTACATTTTGGTGTAAAAACCTTTGAAATCCATGCTTTTTCCTAATGGGCATTTTCCGTGAACTTTGTGAAGACCCCTCAATACTAGACAGAGATCTGTAACTTGCCATGGAAGCTATTATTGGAACAAAACATTAAAAGAAATTAAGAGCTCATAGATTTAAATCTCTGAGTCAATTGCTTACCAGATTAAAAATACCCAAAAAGCAATCTTTTAGGCTTCAAAGGTTTCATCAGGTTTAGACTCTACTCAGGCCTATTAAGTGTGTAGTTAAGAGTCAAATGTCTTGGCAATTTCTGTACCTTAGTTCTCAAACTCAGACTGACCAATTAGTTCCCTACCTGGTACCCAGACTCTCTGGGTAGTTCCTTAATGACAGAATAAAAGGGGTTACATGGCTGGACTCGCACGTAATTGACCAAGGTTTGAGTCCTGGACCTGGTAGCTTAAATTCATACCAGGAGCTTGTGTGTGCGTGCCCAAGATCCTGAGAGAAGAATGGAGAAGGGATTGTAGCAGGGTGATTTCTTGCTTTCTGTCTTTCCAGGGAGCAAATGTGCCCTCTAGCAAAAACCTCTTCCAAAAAAAAAAAAGACATTAGGAAGATACTAGAAAAGCAACCCTAAAAGATGGAGCCCTCAAAGAAAGGTCTACAGTAGCTGTACCCTCACTGCCAAGATATAGGACTATCACTTGTGTCTTTCTTGCCTCAGTTCATGGAGCTGTCCATAAGCACTTCCTGGTCTCCTGATGCAGGAATACTCGCTCACTCACTGAAGTCCATGAAAAAGCATCCAGGTGCATAGCCTTCCAAACCAATGTCTGGCTCCCGCTACTCAACCCATATTTATATCTTCTCTTGGCTTTGAAAAATACAATTCTGTGACATTATACTAAAAAAGCCTTCATTTTCCAAGAACTAGACTTTCAGACATAAATGTCTTTCAAGTTTTATTTACCTAGCCATACCTTATAGCTGATGTTTTTGTACTTCACCAGTTACATGAGACCTACGAGTTTATATCGAAAAGTTAAGTGTGGTAAACTACTGAGTTACTTTTAAGTTCATGGGCAACGTTTGGTGAAATATAATCAAGTGTACAGGTTAATTTGTCTTTTTTTAAAGGTTTATTCATTTATTTCTTCAGAGATAGAGGGAGACAGGCCCCAGTTTTCACATGGCCTGATTCGCTCCCAGTGTTAGCCAGCCAGGATGCCCCATATACTCAGGGAGCTACTGATATGAACGCTGAACCTTTCCTATGTGGGTCCGGTTATATTACCACCATGCCACTACCTGGCTTTGCTTGTTTGCCTTTTAAAATACTTACACACTGTTGGCGCAAAATTTATTAAAGCTTGTTTTATCTCCCCCCACCCCGGTCTTTTGCTACCACTAAATCCCTTCTGTACTAGAAAGCCAGAATGGATGAGACAGATTGCCTTTAGGATATGAGTGGAAAGTTTGAGAACTACCAATAAAATTATGTTGGGAAAATAAAACCACGATGTAAGGAAAATATAAGACCCTTAACAGGAAAGCTGTCAGATACTGGCCATAAGAAAAGTATCAATCGGGGACCAGCAGGTGGCACGGTGGTTAAGGCACTGGACACTGCCACATGGCTGACCACTGTTCAAGTCCTGAATCTCGTGGCTTGCTTTCTCGCTTCCTCTCTATCTCTGTCTTTCTTTGGTCAAATTAAAATAAATGAATGAATAAATACAATTAAAAAAAAAAAAAAGAGTATCCATCAATTAAAAAATGGGCAAAAAGGGGACCAGCCGGTGGTGTGGTGGTTAAGGTACTGGACATTCCCAAATGGCTGACCACAATTTGAGTCCCAAGCCTGGTGGCTGGCTTTCTCACTTTTCCTCTCTCTCTGTGTCTCTCTCTGGTCAAATTAAAATAAATGAATGAATAAAGAAAATTAAAAATAAATAATTCTTAAAAAAAAAAAAGGCAAAAGATATGAACATGTGATATGCTCGAGCTTACTTATAAAAGTTGTTTAAAACCAAATAGAATGGGGGCCAGCAGGTGGTTCAAGGCCTGGACCTGGCGGCTTGCTTTCTCTCTCTCACTCTGTCCTTCTTTGTTCAAACAAAAATAAATGAATGAGGGACCAGCAGGTGGTGTGGTGGTTAAGGTGCTGGACAGTCCCACATGGCCGACCACGGTTTGAGTCCCGGATCTGGTGGGTTCCTCTCTCACTTTCCCTCTCTCTCTTTCCTCTTCTGTGTCTCTCTCTGGTCAAATTAAAATAAATGAGTGAATAAATAAAAATTAAAAAAAAAAAAGAAAAACGAATGAATGAATAAATAAAGTTAAATAACTCACAACAGGTATGTGTGCGTGCATGCCCAAGAACCCAAGAGGAGAATGGAGGGGAAAGGACTGTGGCGTGACCATCCACCTGGGGGATGATTTCTGTCTCTGTCTTTCTGGGGAGCACATGCACCCAAAGCAAAAAACTCTCAAAACAAAAATAAAACCAAAAACACATAATGGCAAAGAAAAGTCTGTAAACACACTTGATTAGAAAGTGGGGAACTGACATGTGCATTCACTGCTAGTGAGATGAAATCAATAGCACATCTATGAAGGGATCTAGAGACAGCTATCAAAAATTACAAGCTCAGATACCATCTGACCTTGTGCTTCTATTTTGAGAAATTTCTTAACAACAGAAAAGTGCAAAATGATCTATGTCAATCTAAGGTTCTTACTGCAGTATTACATGTAAAGTCAAAATAAATAAAAATAATCTAAAGAGTAGTTGTAGATTGGCTAAAAATACACAAGGACTGAGCCAGCAGATGGTGTGGTGCTTAAAGGTACTGAATTCCCACATGGCCAACTGTGGTTTGAGTCCTGGACCCAGCAGCTTGCTTTCTCACTTTCCCTTTCTTTCTGTCTCTCTCTCATCAAATTAAAAAACAATAACAAATGGAATTAATTAGATGAATAATTTAAAACAAAACAAAACAAAAACAAGGATTGGTAAAGAAGTTGCCTCTGGGCAAGGAAATAGGCAGCCCAGACAACTTCACTATAGATCGTTTTTATACCTTTTGAAATGTGAACCATGTAAACATAGTTATCTACAGGTACCTAGAGTCATAAAATAAGTAAGAAGAGTTTCTATTTCCCTCAGAAAATAGGACACGGTGGCCTTTCTTAACAAGACATCAAACACGGAAAATGACAACTTGTGTTCGAATCTGTCTCGGAAGAAGATACAGAAATGGCTAAAAACATGAAGAAATGCTCAACATCATTAATTATCAGAGAAATGCAAATCAAACCCACAGTGAACACTTCACACCCCCTAGGATGGCTAGAATAAAAAAGATAGACAATAAAACAAGTCTTTGAGGGAATCTAGAGAATCGAATCCTCACACACTGCTACTGGAAATGCAAAACAGTGCATTTGCTATGGAAATCAGTTTGTGGTTCCTCAGGTTAAACTGTTAAAGAACAGTTATCATATAACCAGGCAATTCTTAGGTATGTATAGCCAAGAGAACTGGAACTTATATCCACAGAAAACACTTGCACATGCAGGTTGTGACAGCATAACTATTAAAAGTGGAAAAAACCCAAATGTGCATCAACTTGTGAATGAATAAACAAAACATGGCATATCCATACCACAGACTGTTCAGCCATAAAAGGAATGTACTACTGATTCAAGCTACAATATAGACGAATCCTGAAAACGTGCTAAGTGAAAGAAATCAGACACAGGTCACATGTTGGATGATTCTATTTACATAAAATGTCTAAAACAGGCAAATCCCTAGAAACAAAAAGTAGATTTTTGCTAAAGGACAGGAGAAGGAGAAAACTGGGATATAGGGTTACTTTTTGGGGTGATAAAAACGTTCTGGAATTAGATCGTGGTGGTAGTTGTACAACTTTGTTAATACTAAAAACTAAAGAATTGTATACGTTAAAATGCTGAATTAGGACCAGATGTGGGGTGGGAGGCCCAGGGTTCAGCTCTGGGTGTGGAGGTTGTGGACAAGCGGGGGTTTCCAGAAGGAGACTGCTAAGCTGCAATGCAACATCAGAGGTGGGCAGCAGTTTGCCCAGGTGTTGAAACTGCAGCGACCCAGGGCCCCTGGGCGGGAAGACCATGCACTGCAGCCACCTGACCTCACTCCAGACTACTTCAGCCTTATGAATGGCAACTGATCCTTCAGAGTGAACACCACAGTTTCAGCACAGGTACCAGCAGCTACTGTCTTATCCTCCCAGGTCTCTTCAACCAGAGATGCCACAATGGAAAGGACTTCTCAGAGAAACACTCCACCCCAGCAAATGATACCTATAAGACCCTTCTGCCTCCCCTGAGCAGGAGATTATACCTTCTAAGGCTCCATGGAGTAGAGATTTCTGAAGACAGATTAACATCAATAAAATGGATGGGCAATTCCTCATGGAAATCATAGAAAACAAAGAAAAACTTACAGAAGCTCAAAGTGAAGCTGCCAAAAAAGACTGAATTCACTGTCACGGTGAAAAAGAATTCACTAACCACATGAGCACGGCTTTTGAACAAGATGGCTTCAAAAAAGCCAAGGAAATTTTAACAAAGATAAGATACTTTTCAAAAGTAGAGATCAGGTTAAAGAAGATTCCTCTCTAACTTGCTAATTTAAAGTTTCAAACCTAGTGGTTCTGTGAGTTATATCCTACATGACTTCAGTCCCAGCCCCAGTGGCTTGAAAAACACTCCAGTGTATGTGCCTGCATGCCCAAATTCCCAATGGAATGAAAGATGGAGAAGGGATTTTGGTGTGATCATGACCTGTTGTAGGGATGCTTTCTTTGGCTAGTGCACATGCTCTCTGGTAACTGGAAAATAAACAAATAAAGCTGCATTATATGTTATGTAAAATTTTGTTATTTCAACAACAAAAAACGCCCCTAAAGCTTGGGTCAGCCTGCTAGTGCTGTGTAAGAGCCAGATATCACATGGGACATTGTAGTTCAAATCCTGGCCCTGGTGGCTTACAAAGCATGGAGGGAGTATGTGTGAACATGCTCAGGATTCTGACAGGAAGGAGGTACAGGGGAAAGGAGACGGCAGCATGCCCAGGCCTATGGGGGGGGAGGGGGTAGAATGTTCTCTTTCTCCCTGTGTACATATGTACCCTCTAGCATTAAAACAAATAAATAAAACTATAAATTTTTTTAAAGAATAGGATGTAATTACTAATAAATGCTACAAAATGGATGGGCCTTAAAATACTATGCTTGAGACCAGCAGATGGCATAGGGGTTACGTCCCTGGACTTCAACATAGCTGACCATGGTTCAAGGTCTGGACCCAGTGGCTTTAAACTCACGCCAGATGCATGGGCATGAGTGCCTAAGATCCCAGGAGGAGAATGGAGAAGGGATTGTGCATGGCCATCCCTGCTAGGGGGTGAATTCTCACTCTCACTGTCTCTGTCTTTCTCTCTGGCAAGCACATGCACCTTAAGGCAAAAACCTCTCATAGTATATATAATATGTATTATGCTAATATTCTACTAAGTGATGAAAGCCAGGATAGGGGTAAGAAGAGGGAGGACTGACAGCTAAGAGGGATATGTTTCTTGCCAGGGTGATGAAAGGTTCTAAAACTGACTTTGATGACGGCCAGACAAACTGAGTACACCCAAACCACTGAACTGTACACTTTAAGTGGGAACTGTGCAGTAGGTAAATTGTATCTCAACACATCTATTTTTAAAAAGAGTGAGCGGGAGAGAGGGAGGGAAGGCACAGGTGATAGTAAACACAGATCCACTTACATGATAAATTCATTGGGCTGGCAGACAGTT